AAGACATAATTACGTAAAAAAAAAAAAAAATCCATCTTTATTATTTTTATAAACATTTATATCAATATAATAACATAGCATATAAACAAAAATAAAATATAAAACGTATACTTTTTAGATTAAGTGGGGTATCTTGTGGTTCCGTATCATCGCGCATAAACCATATATCAATATCGTAATTAGATTTGACGATATTTATTAGAATTTGCTGATATGAATGATATCATTCATAAAGCATAACCATATAAAGTTTTCTGTTTTACATCAATTCATGTAAGAGAACAATAGAAAAAAAATATATATATAAATATATATATAAATATATATATACTTGATATATAATAATTTAACCCTTTTTAAAAAAATCGATATGGTATTACTTATGTTATTGTGTAAACTCAAAACTGGTACCATATTACCGATGAGTGTAAGCTTGATTCATATCAACTTTATGGTGTATTCATTTGAAAAATCAAAAACAAAATTGAATTAATAAGTGAATGACGTAAATTTGTGCTGATAAAAGTTAAAAAGAAAAAAAAAAAAAAAATGAGACAATATCAAATGCAAAGTTGATACTATTTGGTATCTTTAGAAAGTTAGAGAGTATATGCAAGAATTTTCGTATGCATAGAAGACCAAAGTAATAATATATTATGATTTCTGCATTTAAAATTTGTGAACTATACTAAACTTGGGATTAGATAAATATCAAAAAAAAAAATCATTGATAATAATGTTAGTAAACTGAGATTAAAAAAAAATTATGCCGTTGAAATTTCAAGAACGGTAAGACCAACTATGGTCTAGTAGACAATAGTTGCCAAAAATAGATTGATGAATAAATTGGTCAAACCCATTGTTTTTGTTCAATGGGTATAGATAGTTTCACAAAGAAAGCTAAACTCGATCGACGCTAATGAATGTTTCAGAAAATCGAGGATCATGTTTTAAAACTGTTTTAAAAGTAGAGATCATACGCCACACATAGGATGGTCATCAGGTATTAAGTATTAGCTTCAAAATGTTAACGCCACATACTTTTCAAGTAGCACTTGAAATAAATTTTAATTAAAGTCAAGAATCTAAATTCTAGAAATTAGAGAGAAATTTTTAATTTAACGATGATCAAATTCTTATTTTGACAGTTTTTGACATCATGTGATGTTTATTGGGCGTTTTTTTAAGCACCATATGGGAAAAGAATTTATCAATCAATCAAACGATGCGTGCTACATGAAAAATTAGCGCCAATCAAAGTAAAATTTGTTCCAAGGAAAGTTGGCAACCTTTGTACGGGTACGGTGTAATATATGATATTATATAAAAATATAAATATATCTTTATCATTTATACAAAGCGATTCATGCAAATTCCAAGAATGAAAATTTCAAAGAGGCAAGAAAGGTAACAGATTATTGATCAAGGGTCAAATGACACGTTTCCACGTATAGTTATATTAATCAAGGAGATAGAGAAATTTTTTTTATATTCTTCAAATGGGTCAATGCGTAATTACATATAAATAATTTTTATGTTAGAGTTCTGACGAACGAAAGAGAATCATTTCCTGGATCATGAACAATATTTGGATTGTAATGTGAGTATTAATTTTCTGCAAGGATATCGCACAACATCATAAGTTCATAAAACTTTATAAATTTTGAGTATACTAAACTCTATATATATATATTTTTTTGTTTCTATTTTTAAAGGTGATTGGTTATAAAGTTTGTTAATTATTGGGTTTCTCTGAAAGAATCAGCCGGTCTTTGATGGGAGAAAATTGCAAGTAGAGACCGTAAAAGTAATTATCATGTTATAATGTGACCACATTTTCTAAAAGCTAAACCAATATCGATAATTAAATAAAATTAATAAAAATTTTGAGGCGTATATAGATTTTTTTTTAATGCAGTTCGGTAGATTTAAGAGGTTAGATCAAAAAGCGAAAGGCTGATATTTTAATCTGTTTTTTTTTCATGAGTTTATGCATTAATATTATTGAATTGTTGACATATTACTAACAAAAAAAGCTTTTTATAAATGTGAAAACCATTACTAAGTTAAACCGATATCGCATAAAATGCATAGTATCAATACATCGCGCATTCGTTTACGCGAAAAAAGGTTTATTGAGATACCTGAGATACCGAGACGGACGGAGTTAATGGATTACTTGTGTTTACTGCGCCCATTACGATTTAATGATCAACGAATCAAATATGTTAACTTTGACACGTTCCGCAAAAGGACAAAATAAAAGAATCTCGGAAAACATTCGACAGAAAATAATTAAAAACCAGTTTTATTTGTTTGACAAATATTGTGTGGAGTATAAATAAATGATGGAATAATATTGATTATGACAGTGAAACGCTAACCAAATGCTATCAACTATCTATGTACATAACGATAACAAGGTATGTCGACATCTTTGATATTTAGAAGTATGAATGCTATCAAAACCTTAAAAGTCAGGAAATTTTTTCATTTCACATGGTTTTCTTTATATTTCACTTTTCAATGCAATTTGTACAACTTTACAGTTGAATTTTGTACATATTTGTGAACAGTTTCACGACAGTCTTGTCCATTTTTAAATTAAAAATTTTATTTTTTTATCGATGAAAAAAATTACTCGAAAAGCAAATAATTTTTGTATAACATCCTACATACTTTCTAAGGACATCTAAAATTCGCGCTTCTTCTAAAAAATATTATTCATTCATACTGATATACTTAAATCAAAACACAACTCGAATTAAAACAATTTGATTGCAGATTCGGAGTTTCTTTCGATGAAAAATTAATAACTTTAAAAAAAAAAAAATTTTTTTTTATTCATTTAATCAATTAAGCACCCCTGATATCCCTTACTGAACTCTAATTATCTAGATAGATCTTTAATAATTGAATAATAATAATAATAATGAATTAAAAAATTTAAGAATCTAAAGGAGTTCAAGCATAATTAATATTAAAATTTTTTAACGATTTAAAATTTAATTAATCATTATAATAATAAAATTTTTAATAATAATAATAAATATCGATATAAATTTATTTTTTTTGAAATAAATTTTTTTTCAAAGTTGGGTAACACATTTACTGCACTATTCAGGACAGATTCACTAAACCAAAGATATCCAAAAGATAACAAAAAAAGATGAAAGATAACAAGAGTAAATATCAATTCTTTTGCCTTCGCCCATATGTACTATACACTCATATGGCACCATTCAATACTTATTTGATTTATTTGATTTACAAAGGTCTCTTTAATGAAGGATACACACAATCTTGAACTTTTTAATTTCACCAATTTAATATTGTTGGAACAATTTTAATGAATTTGGATTGTCATATCACCTGATATCAAGTAATAAAATTTTATCTATGTAATAGTTTCGTCATCTTAAGTAACTTGAAGAGTATTAAATCACGGGAAGTTATCAACGTTTGATCATAACAAAAGAGTTGTTATGTTGTGTTATCGTGTGGGGTGCTTTATTGTTTTGATGGTATAATAATTCTAATGATCATCATTGAATATTTTTTTTACCTGGATCTTACAAAGATTAGCGTTAGTAATTATTAGTCTTTCGTAAAGTCTTCATGAACAACTGCACCCCCTGAACATTTTTTTTTTTTTTTGCCTTTGAGAGAATTTAAAATTGTTCATGTGAACATCACGCAAACGACGCGTTTCTATTCAAAAACATTATAGATAAAAAAACTCAAGAGAATACATATTAGATATGTTTTTTGACGATAGTATTTGATTGTTTTTATTATTATTATTAATTTTTTTTTTTCTTTTTAAAAAAAGAAAATCAGAAACAATGTTCATTTTTCCCAATAACAAAAAAAAAAAAAAAAAAAAAAAAAGAAAAAAAAGAAAAAAAAAAGGTAAAAAAAAAATTTAAAAAAGTAATATGCAAAAAAAAAAGTTTAAAAACGATAAATTTAATTAATTCAATTAATATTTAACAGTTTCTTCTACAAACTGTAGGGGTGTGTTTACTCTCCTTATATATACATCACTCCTTCTACAACTCACTACATAGGGGGGGTAAATCGAAAAAATTAAAATTTAACGTTTTGTTTTTGTTAAAGAAAAAAAAAAGAGAAAAAAGAACTAATGTTACATATATATACATATAAAAAAAAAGAAAAAGGATAAAATAATCATAGTTTAAAAAAGTTTATATATATAAAAAAAAAATTACATAAGAATTGTTTTTAACGTTAAATTCATAACTCAAGTTAGGAAGAGATAAATGAATCTTGCAGAGAAAAACAAACTTAAATCTAAATTAAATTTTCCTTAATCCATAAAGTCATTTTTATATAAATCAAAATTCGGTAAAAGAGTAAGTAGTTAGAGATTACTCAATTATTCTTTAGATCTTGATTGCTTCTTTTTTTTCGGCTTTATGGGTAATTTGGTTGTGAGCATATATATTTTATACTTAAGTTGGGGAATTAAGTGTAAAATGTTTTTTTTGTTTTTTTTTGTTATTGGGTTTTGATTTTCTTTTTTTTTTTTTTTGTTCGGTAAGATGGTTAATAAAGGAAATATAAAAAAGAAAACTCTATATAATCGAAAAAGAGAAAATTTACAAAGAGAGTGTATGACGGTGGAAATAATGTTTTTACGAAAACTTTTTAATACCACGTAGGGATTGGGTTTATGCACAAAGACTTTTTTTTTTTTATATTTATAAAGGGGAAAAAAAGTATCTACAATCTAAAGAAAAAAAATTTTGCAAACAAAGTTTTCCCCGGTCAACGGAAAAAGAAAATGTGCTTTTTTTTTCGATTATTTAAAAAAAAATTGGTAGTTCATCAAAAGTTTTTTTTTGGTATTTTTTTTTGGTATTTTTTTTTTTTTTTTTTGGTATTTTTAAATTTTTTTTTTTTTGAACATAGCTTTCCGTCTCATTCTTTTTCATATTTTCATATTGGAAAAAGTATTTCATGAGTACAGAAGCTTATTAATTTGAGTAATTGGATCCATCAGAATCGTACGATGGAGACGGCAATGGACATTCCCTTACAAGTAAAGGAAGATCAGCGGTCCTAACCAGGACGGGACGGTATCCATGAGGGATCCAGAAAATAGTCCCGTTTCTCGGATTGCAATTAATTTTTTTGGTTCGCGTTCTCAACTGCTGTTGAGCAGCTGTTCCGGTTGGAGAAGGTGGAACAAGGACTTCGTACTCTACTTCACCAGTTGGAGAAGATGGAACAAGAACATCGTACTCCATTTCATTTACCTCATTGGTAGAGGTTTTGTGAGGTTCGGTTGAGTGTAGAGAAGGCATGGCTCAAGTTGTTGTTTTGTCGAAGAGTTTTTTTTTAAAACAGGTAAAAAAAAAAAGAATGCTACTGCCACAGGTAATAAAGGTAATAAAGTAGTAGAGCAACGAATAAACGCTGTTCTTATATATATATTTTAATTCGTTCAATTAGTATAAAAAAAAAAAAAGGCTAAAATTTTCGTTGATAGAGAAAATTAATTTTCTCTAACGAAAAGGATTATTATTATAATTTAAAATAAAACTAAATACAAGTTTTTTTGTTAAAACCGTTTAGTTCGTAGTGAAAATTCTCTGGTGACAGAAAGGCAGGATTTATAACAATTTTCACGAACAAAGGTCGATATTTAATTTTTCCCAATATAAATAAGTACATTCTTTTTTTACTTTAGGTTATATATAAAAAAAAAAATCTACAATAGATTATAAAGTCGGAAATATTAAATGTATAAAATTATTAATATAAAAAAAACTGTATACAGTAGTTGTATAGTAAATCATCCTTTTGTTTTTTTTTTGAGTTACCATGTATTTAACCTGTTTAATTGTTTGTGTGGCTTTAATATATGATATTAACAAATTTCTGACAGTTAATGAATGGACAAGCTTGCTCTAGGTTTAACAAAATAGGTTTATCGAAAAAAAAAAAAAAAAAAAATTTTTTTTTTTTTTTTTTTTTTTACAATAGTGAACACTTCTGGCGAAACGATTTATTAACTTCTGATAAAATATAATAAATAATATAACTCTATCAACTATCTAATATTAATGCTATCAAGTGACACCCCATTTCTATTTTTGGAATACAGGTACAGACTATTTTTACTCTTGTTCATATTTTTAAAGATTGTCAATTTTTATTTTTTTTTTCTGAAAACAATATAAATATAACGACGCATATATGATGCATTAACGTTTTCAATAACGTCAATAGAGAGTATCTTTAAATTAATAAATTTACTCTTTGGTAAAAGATATGTCAAAAGTTCGTTATTTAGCATGTACGTACGTACCTACGTATTTCAATCATGGGAATTTAATGTTCACTGCAGTAATTTGTAATAATATGCATTCATTTATTTTATTGAAATAATAATAACGATAATTTTAATTTAAAAAAAAAAAACTCTTACGTAGACGCGCGGTCCTCCTTTCAAATTTAAGATGATACGAGATGAACATTACACAACTTTTGACAAGGACGATACAAGGACCTTGACCTTTCATTGTGTTTAAAATAGATTTTGACGTTCTAAATATGCAACTTGCATTATCCTTAATATTTTCATTTCGAACGAAAAATTTTGTGACCAAATCTTAAACATATTACTGTCAAACCCTTGCTGTGCAATCGATATGCAAATTATAGTAGAAAGGCTTAAATTCTTATTTATCAATCGAATCATATTTTTATGACCGGAGATGGTTATTGCTCAAACGACAGTAACACTATTAATGATACTCCAAATATATCTACAACAATGTATTTTAAATAAACCTACTTTCGTAGTAACACTGACCAGTGTGACAATTTGCGACAATTATTGTTTCAAATTTCGAACCGCATGTTAAAATTTTTAATTAATTTAAATTTGAACAAACTTTTTTCCTTCCGATGTGTGTTCAAAAGTTTTAAACAATGGACTATCAAATGTGTTAATCCTGAAAATCTGTCAAGTTTCGAAATGAAACATTATAGAATCATTGTAGAAGAATGTTACAGTTACATTCTTATCCTTAATTAAAAAAATTTTTGCCAAATGTTTTATACGAAACAAGTTAGAACAAAGAGATTCTATTGACAAATCATTTCATTGTAAGTAATGATGATATAACACTTTATTCATGAACGTACATATCGATATAATTTTTAAGTTGTTATTATTAACTATATAATGTCGTTCCAAATATTAATTTATTAATTTGACAGAAAATATCGCAAACATGATATCACATGATAAATAATAATAAGATAACGATAAAATAATTTTTTTATATAAAAGTATTGAAAGAACAATAATTCGTCACGCACTTATTATGTATCACAAACTGTTATGGATAGTTCGAGATCTTATTATTCAAGCCACATTAAAACCTACTAGAAATAAAACACATGATTACCTATGTTTGATTAAAATGATAACGATAAAATTTATTTAATTGTTTGTAAATGATTCAATAATTACAATAAAGTAAAACGCACACACATATTAGAGTTATAAACAACTTTAAAATAAAGTTTAAAATATTACATAGTAAAAGTGGTTAGTATACACAAAATTCCTTTACCCACGATCCATTTTACTGGCCAATCGATTTTTTTTTTTTTCAAAATATAAGGTAAGAATGATGATTCGTGCGTATACACACACAATTCAGATTATTCTTAATAATAATATGATCAAATAATCTATTGATCTTTTTTCTATCATATTCTTATCCCAAAAAAAAAATAAAATAAAATAATAAATCTTATTAAGTACGCATTTATTTCTGACGTATTTTTTACATCATAAACTTCTATAAAATTTTTAAAATCACATAATCAGAATTCATATAATCAGAATTCATATAATCAGAATTCACATAATAGAAATTCATATAATACATATAATAATTAGTTGCATAACGTAATAAATCGTTCAGTTAACATTTCTTTGAAAAATTACTCCGGACTGAGAGATTATGGTCGTGCAAAGACCGTCACATGTGCAACGATCTAGAATGTTTGAGGAATAATCGGATCAGAATACAAAAGCTATATGAATTTAAATTGTGTTTATCTGATTTACACACGAATAGTAAATTATTACTTGTGTGACGCATATTACAAATATTTTGTAAAATGATGCAATTCGCACAATCTCATGGATACAAAAGATCAATTCGATTTTAAATGTATCGCGTCTCAATACTTTGATTTGCTTTTGAGTAAAAAAATAAAAATGATACAAAATTATGTATTTGATATGTTTTGAATTATTAAAAACAGTAAAACGGTAGAAAATCA